CATAGAAAGCGAGCGGGAGGGCGAGCGAGATAGCTGTAGGAAATTTCCTTTGTTGTGTTATGTATACTTTGTGTGTTTGTGTGTGTTGACATCTCATCATAAAATGTTATGTGAATGCGTTTTTGAACGCGTTTTTATCCATTCGCCATTTGCCATAAAGGCGAAGCATGTAAATATCAAGTCCGCGCCTGTCGCCTGGCCYGGCCTGAACGTGGCCTGGCCAATTCCTTGCCTGAACCTGGCTCTGGCTTTGGCTCTTTGTCTTCGCTGCACACGCGCGCTCCTTCCTTTTGGGCCAAACAGCTGCCGCGCCCCGCCAGCAAATTAGCTTCATTTCCTGTCGCATGACATGCCCAAGGCTTTAACCCTACCAAAATTCAATGCCTGCTTTTTTGTCGTTGTTATTCATAAATATTTTAAAGGCACATGCAAATTGTTGAGGAGCATCTACTTGGTAATACTCTTCTATGTAGAATTTGGCGATGATATTATTAATAAATTGTATATATGTATATTAAATAAGATAATGACAGTGTATAATATAAATATTATCTTTGATCAACAAAGAGATCTATATATATAACTCTTCCATTCTTAAATGTGATTTTAGCTTAGATAACTAATTATATAGCCATCTATATCTATGTTAGGGCATTTGAGTTTCAACAACTCGAGCTTAGCTTTTCTCTTTTGTTTTTGTTTGTGGCACGGCTTGCAAAATCTCAAGTCGWATTATTTATTTATCTTCAGCTTTTTTTGGGAGTTTTATTTTTTTGTTTTTCTTCTCTGCCAGCGTGGGCAAGCTGTGTGAAGGAGTTGCTGCCTGCGCGGCTAACGGAAATCGTTAAATGCTTTTGAGGGCAGCGCGCAGATAAGCCGTCCCATGAGGCAACATGCGGCGTGTTGCCGCAACATGTTGCCAGGCTGTCAACTATATATATGTATGTTTTGCAAAGATGTTAACGAACTCATTTCTGTTTGTGTTTTTTGTTCGCTTTTGTGTTCATAAAGAAATCGATTCTTTCGGTACCGGAAGGGCCGCACAGCGATCGGGGCAACATCAGGCAGCGGGGATCGAGCACGTAGCCGGCTACTGGGCACGATCGCTCATTTGGTCGGGCTGGCCTGGCCAGGCCAGGGCCCGAGCCATATTGTACGTGGCATAAACACGAATGAGGTCGCTTTCAGTTTCTGCACACCAAACTGATTCATTCGTCCATAAAAACGCAGCTCCCATAAAGTGTAAGGAAACGCGTGCCACACGCAACGATGGGCGAGGGGATGGGCGAGGCAATGCGGGGCCGCCATTGTCTACCCCTGCAGTCGCTGTTTATGACTACTTTAAATAAAATGCATCAATCATTCAACGGCGCACATTAAAAAAATAGCATTGGCTTTGTTTTGTCAGCGCGTGAGAAATTGCATTTGATTTAGTTGCTCATAATATGAGGGGGATCATCACCGACAATCAAGTGTCCGAGTTGCTCATCCAGCGGGCAGACCAGCGGCCGCGGCAGCAGCAATGGTGGCTTTGGCTCAGCTTGCGGCACACTTTTTGCCGCCGCATTTAGTGGCAAAGCTGCGCTGCGCGCCGGTCGAAATAAGTCAAGAGTCTGAGACGTGTCTCGCTGCTTTGCCCCAACGTGGTATAATAATATTAAAACTTCACTCGGTTCATAAAGAGGCAGAAAAGAAAACGTTGCTGGGCGCACCACAGACGACGGGCATAAAAGTTGCGCGTTGTTTGCTGCCAGTGGAGCAGAAGCTGAAGTAAGCAGGCAGCAGGCAGCTGGCAGCTGGCAGTGGGCAGTGGGGCTTGGGGCATGTGGCAGGCGCAAGAAGTTGTTGCACAGTTGTTGCCGGTGCAATGCACTCCATACGACGCTGTCATTGCGGCAGCTGCCTCAGCTGCCAACTATTTTGCATCACACACACACACATGCATAAAAACTAATAAGTGTTGCAACAGTGTGTGTGTGTGCTGGGTCGTGTCATGCAACTCGCTGCACACGTCGCCTTCAACGTTGCTGTCAGCGTTGTCGCCTTGTGATAATGCCATTATGCTATGATGGTAGCGTTGATTCCACCGAGAGAGAAGAAGAAGCAGAAGTAGAAGCAAAAGCAGACTTGCAACAAGAACTGCACTAAGTAGAGCTTTAAGAAGAAGCAGAAGTTGAAGACACGACAGAACATTGACTTTGAAGTCGCACCCAATGGGGAGTCGACAATTTACTGCTGTCTGCGCCGTAAGCGTTGTGATGCAGAGCGAATTTCTAATTAAAATATGCTAATCCATGTGGAAAGATGGATTAATCGATTAATCATGCGATCGATAATATGTAATCAAATGAGACGTGTGCAGTTTAGGGGTTTATATAGATCATAAATTTTGCCGGCTGTAATTGAGCTGACAATTATGGGATATCTATATATCTGTATAGCGATAAGATAATTTAATGTGATAGTCAATGAATGACAATTGAATAGGGTGCTGTTATCGATAACAGATCGATATAAGCATATATAACAGAGTATTTAGAGCAAAAATTACTGAATAACAAAAGTTTAGCATATATGTACCTAACTTTTCTCCACATATTCACTAACTTTCTTTATCTCTTTCTCGTTCTCTGTTTGCTTTCCAGGTAAGTTCACTCTTCACAATTAATCAAGCCACGTGAGTTTATCTACCAGCTGCCATTCGATAAACACATTTGCCATTTCTCAGTTTATAAACAAAGCGCGCTGAGAATCGAGTAGAGGGGCAGTAAAACAAAAAACAAGAGAAGCAACAGCGGCATTGCAAGGCCTTAGGCTGCGTTGTTAGACGGCATTGCAATTGATGCGTTTATTTTTATAAGCCTTTAGCGCATTTATTATAAACAAAATATATTTTCAAGCGTTCGAGCGTACAATGTTTATAAGTCGCACATTGTTGTTGTTGCTGTTGTTGTTGTTGCAGTGTTTATGTTAACATTGACTGCTAGGCTGAATGAAAAGAGGAAGAGTCAGCCACCCACAGAAACTTCTTGACGCATTTCCGTAGAATCTCTCTTTTTTTTCTTTCTCCTTAGTTTTCTATTTAGTAAACAGCACGTCTTCCATTTCTGGCCACGCCTCTTGGGCCCGTTTCACTGGACAGGCAGCTGGTTAACTTTTACTTTTTGTATATATACATGCAGCGAATCGATATTGATATATAGATATCTGTAAATAATATATACATATATGAAACGCAATGCGTTCATAATTCTCTTTATATGCCATATATGGGGAAGTATTTCCGCATTTTATTTTGGCACTTTCAGTTTTCAATAATGCGTTCCCCACTCGTATTATATATCATCTTTGAATATATATATATGGATATACAAATATATTCATAAATGCTTATGCATTCGCTTTATTGTCTACTTGATGAGCTGACTAATGAAGCTGGTACGAGGGATCCCCTGGAAGCCCCTCATCTCCTTTCACATAGCTACTTCTCTCTCTTTTCTATCTCTTTCTGTCGTTGGCATTATTCATCAGCATAATTAATATTACAAATCATAAAACGTCAGTCAATTTGCATTTGTATTGTTTACAATAGCAACAATAACAACAGCACAAAATTTGTTTTCATCCAAAGTCTTGTTACTTGGTTTGTTGTAGTTTGTTTTGAAAATTATTTATGCATTTTATAGTCAGCTCTTTCATATATATATRTATATATATACATATATTCACACATAAAATTTTGGGACAGGTGTAAACCGGTTTTAGCTTAGTCTATTTTTCAGTTTCAGCCGACTGCATAATTTGTTTGATTTACTTTTTTTTTTTTTGGGTCTTTCTCGAACTCAAATTCGATGTGTGATTTGATATTTGTGTGTGCATTTCTTTCTGTGGGGAACCTGTGCTTAACTGAATTCTATTGTTAATTTGCGAAAGTGAAAACAGCTTTTATAGCTCTACACAAACAACAATTCAGTTTAACACAAATGAAATGCAAATTGAGCAATGAAATGGAAAGAAAGAATGAAAAATAAAAGCAACTGTTGGATCATAAAATAAAATAGATATCATGAAAAAATTAACATATGATGGAAAATGTTGTTTGTGGAGTGCTACGAGAATTTGTGCTAACGGTAGCTCGAATGCATTCTAACTGTTGTTGCAGCCGTTAATCAGTGACCGAAACTTCTGAGAAATGCCGTCAAAAGAATTCTTTTGAGAAAAGGTTTACATAAGGTAAAGGTTTCGAAAAATGATGTCGATGACAAGTAGTCCAGGTTGAGTAAACTATTTATAGAAAAATTTGATTACTCTTTTGTTTTGTAGAAGCCTACAAAATGATTCTGAACCCAAAAAAAAAATGTATATAGTCAAATTGTTTTCGATGACTAAATTGAACACAAAATTTTCCTAACGAAAATATTTATAAATCTGTATATATAAAGATATTTATATAAATATATATATTCCCAAATGGCCACTTGGAAAATGTTTTTCATACAAAAATAAGCAAAAGCACTTGGCCAATGTTTTTCTGCACAGCCCACGCCGAAAAAATCCACAGCAGCCGGCGAAAAAATGAAGAAAAAAAACACTTGAAATATATAGAAGAAAAAAGCAGGAAAAAAAAACACATGCATCAAATGATCTTAAATGCGGTGATCGTTGCCTCGTTCATAAATCGTTTGGCTTTCGGGTGTTGTAGGTGGGAGGCGTTTAGCAATACTTGTTATGAAATAGCCATCACTACACCTCACTCTCTCCCTCTCACTGTTTCTCTCTTACTCGCTTTGCATCTATGTAAGTGGTTCGTTTTGTTTGGCGAGTTTTGCAGACGTTTCATTGTGAGGCGATCATGTTCAATTTTGTTTATTTTTGTTTCCAAAGGCGTTGTCCGAAAGCCTAGCGTCGAAATTGAACCAGGCCAAAAAACAATGGCATAGTCCGGAGTGGCACTTGGCGTTGAAACTCGTTTAGCCGTTTGATGATGGAGTTGCATAGGCAACTAACTAAGTCTCTGCAGTCACCCCTTTCGCAGTCTCACTCTCTTTCTTTCTCTCTCTCTCTCTCTCCGTCTCTCCCACTCTGGCATACAGCTGTGTGTGTTTAACGTCGTCAAGCAGCTGGAACAAACAGAAAATCTCGGCTAAACAATGGCAAAGTCCGTTTTCCGCCTGCTCGCTGCACTCAACCATAGGAAACTGAGAAAAAGCTACAAAAACAACAACCGCGAGCAATTGAAACCAGAATTTCGTTTGGTTTAGATTTTCACTTTTGTGGCTGTCGGTCAATTACCCAACCTCTCGCTCCTCGCGCCTTGTGCCTGCCAATCATTCAGTCAGTCAGTCAGTCAGCGAATGGGGCCGGCCACCTCCTGCCTTCTCCTGCACTTGGATCTCAGCCAGCGGCACGTGTTCCCATCAGCTGCGCCTAGCCAATTTTCGCTTTGTTCTAAGGCACACACATTACTTGCTTTTCACCGGCTTAATTGAAAGCGTTTCTGTCCGCAGGGCACTCACCACTGCCTGTGCTCACTCAATTGTCCACTATGATTAGGCGGCAGCTGCTCTCAGCTGTTGCAGATTGGCATTTCGAATTGTTGCGGACCTGATTGAAGCTGAGTTTATGCAAAGCTGCTGCTGCTGCTGTTGGCTATAATTGGGTTTGCAATTGGTGAAAACAGACAGAGAGAGAGAGAGAGAGAGAGAGAGAGAGAGAGAGAGAGAGCATTCAAAATTAATCAATGAGTAGATAATATTTAGCTTGCGTTTTTAGTTGTTTTTGCGCGATAGTCCTATTATAATAGTTGAGAGAGTCAATGCTTCAGGCTATATTATATAAAACGTAGAAAAATCTGCAGAAAATTGATATTTATATAGAGTCTAGAGAATGCGGAAACAGGTGTTCCTATAATATAATAGATAAATTATAAATAATTTACATAATGATTACATATAATACAATGATTCATTAGTTGCCAATTTAGTTCAAAATTCCATTTGTACAGCATTTTAAATTGCATTTTAAGCGAATGAGATTCGATTTGAATCACTTACGCACGTTCGCTTTAAATTAAATTATTTTTATACATATGCGCAAACAACTTAATTATCAGTGAATATTTAATTCTTTGTCCCATTGTTGTCGCTGTGGCTGGCTTCAGCTGCTTCTTCAGCTGCAACTCTCTCACGTTCGTGCAGCTGGCAAAAGTCGTAGACAATTTAACCTTTTGAACTGACCAGAGAGCTCAGCTTGAGGCAGCTTGTGACGTCAGTTTGTTGTTGTTGCTGTTGCATGTCTGTCGTTGTTGTTGTTGTTGTTGTTGTTGCTGCTGCTGCCTGTTATTAATTGACTTTTGAGTTGACTCGACTGGGCGAAATGGCAGCGTTTAATTTATTGCACATACGCCCCGCTGTCTATGAAAAGTTAAAGAAAAAGTGCAAGAAGCAGGCAAGCAGGAAAGGCAGACAGAAAGGAAAGAGAACAGAGAGTGTACAGAGAGTGAACTATACCACCCACATGGCATAGCATAGTTGCTGCTGCCGCTGCTGCTGCTGCTGCGGAAGCTGCTGCTTAAGGAAGTCGCAGCTGAAAGCTGCAGTCAATTGTTCGAGGTGTGAGGCGTCTGTCTGCCAGGAAGAGTCGAATTGCATTTTCATGGCTCATAAATATTGCATTATGGCTCACAGTCCGTCAAGCACATGCTCAAGTGTTCTCTCCGCCTATGTTGACTTGAGTGCTTTGCGATCTAAATACCCTGCAAATGCATAATTTATACGATGTGCACATTAAATCAAGTACTCCGCTCTTTAGTTTTATAATATAATTGAATAACTCTTCCTTTGGCAAATTTCTTAAAGTACTAAATAATAAAAAATTTAGCGCACTGCTTAAAAATAGCTGTAAAAAATGCAATCATTTTTATTGCTGAGCATTTCCTCGGGGCAACTATAAAAATCTCAAATAATATATTTCTCTTGCCTGTGTTTATTTATTTTATGGTGTATGGGAACAAGATTTCTCTTTCTCTCTCTCGCTAAATCTCTGGTATTTGTATGTATTGCTCTCTCGCTCTCTCTCTCTTCCTCTTCTAGCAATAGTATTTTCTGTAAGTTCTTGCTTTTGCCTAGTCACTCGCAACGCGTTTCGCTTTTATAATTGCCACCTTGTTTTCCACGAATCTTTTGCCGCTATCCGAGCACAATCTGAAGCGTATGTAAATACATACATATGCATATGTGAGAATTTTAATTATAAGGCAGGCGCAACAACAACAATAACAACAGCTAATTACTTACATATATGTAAAAGTATATCTATGTAGCCTTAGATTAATGATAACTTGAGTTGAGTTAAGAGCTGCCTCTCTAGCGAAATGGCAACGAAGAAGAATAACACGAGTGCATGAGAAATTACTTACATGGAAAATGTTGTTTGTTGTTGCTGTGGTAATTTGTGATGCCGCCTGCTCTAGTTAAAAGTAAAAAAGTATATATATATATATACACATATATCTATAAAAACATTGCATTTTTTGTCGTACATGCAACGGAAATGCAACAAATTGTTGTCTAAGCTCTTGGCAACAAAACGAACTGAGAGAAAAAAAAAAAAAAAAAGCGAAACTATGGCAATGCCATGCTTGCCTTTAAGTCCTGGCCAACATCTATTTATAGCCAGTTAGTCGTAGCTATCGGCCCGGCCATGATCCTCTTTTCATCCAACATCTATGGATTCTACAATGTCCGGGCCTGCATTGGGCAATGCGCAATGCGCATGCGCCACACGACGACCGACGGCCGACGGCTCCAACAAAGTAGTTCAACCTGTTCGGCTGCTTTGCGACGCGGCCAAAAGAATGTGGCTGCGAATTTATAGCTCTTTTGCTTTCAACTTTACTACAAAGACCGGCTGCGATGCGATGAAGACTTCTTCAATATACATTTTTCTAGCTTTTCAACAGCAGCAGCAGCAGCAGCAGAGGCAACAGCAGCTAGAAAATAAGTAAATTTTAAAGTTTTCTAGCAATTTAAGCGCAAGATTTACGCAAATATGTTGCGCTGAATGGCCACGCCACATAAAGTAAAACTTGAGCGTTGTGGTAAGCAGGGGGGCAGCAGGGGGGCAGCAGGGGGGCAGCAGGGCCAATAAATGCCAGACACATAAAATGTGTGTAAAGTCGTTGTAAATATGTGCTAATGGACCGAGTTTTCTAGTATTTAAATGAACTTTGCTTGCGCGGAAGCTAAATGTAAAATAAATTATATATAATTTATCAATATTTACATGTAATAAGACATAAATCAAATATATATAGTATATATAGTCAATATATAAATTTTTATGAAAACTCTTTCTTATAGCATTAAAGTTTATTATGATTTACATGGTTTTTATATTATAGTTTTATATATCTGTTACTCACATTTTTTTGCAGTGTATAAGTAGTTTCGTCGTTTTGCCTTGCTTTGCATATGAAGTGAAACTTAACTACGCTGCGAGCTGTGCTTCAATGTCCGTTGTAGTCATTCCCTCAATTCAACAATATCAAATTCATTCATTTATAGCGTAGCACAGCATCTGCTCTGCGCTGCTAGAGTTTTGTCTTAAGTTGTCTTCTTCTACGCTGTTTGTTTCGCTTCTTCAGCCCAGTTGAGTTGAGTTCGGTTCAGCGCAGCGCAGCTTCTCTCAATTAAGTTTAATGAGCACATGGGCATTTTCATAATTGGAGCAAATTAACTTGGATGGCGCTTGAGCGAGAGGAGTGTGGGCAGAGGAGGATACGGACTTCAGTGCCAAATGCCTTTTGGACTCCATATAGATCATGTACAGAGCACAAAATGCCGGAAATGTTTGTTGGCCAACTGTTTGCTTGACCAACATGTTGGCAGCTGCCAATTGAATCTGTTGCCAGTTCTTGCTGTTGTTGTTGTTGTAGGTAGGCACTTAGCTGGTACTTTGTACTATATCAGTCAATTGTTTCTGCTGTTGTTGTTGCTGTTGAACGCCTAATGAGCGGCCATTGTCAACGAGCCAGAGCACTGTTTTGGCCGGGCCAACACAGCGTGCGCCAGTTATACGTTTTTTTCTGCTCGAGTTGTGGGCACGTTTCGAGGTCACTTGACCAGCACGCAATCAGCCATAAAAAAAGAGCTACATACAAATTTAATAAATATAACAATAAAATAAATTGCAAAAAAAAGTAAATAAAACAGTTTTGCACTTCTGCTTGGCTGATTGCTTTCTGTGCTGATTTTGGCCGACTCACGACTCGTATGATTCTGAATATTTATTGAAATTCTTGGCTTATCAGCGACACCAAAACTGAGTTTTGGGCCACTTAAGCTGGCTACACTCTGTAGCACTTGGCCAATTAGTTTGCATCTGGCTTTCAACATGAGCTGCCTGTTTGGCTATTTGACTGCTGTTACACATTTCAGCCACAAGGATTGGCATATGGACATTTTGGTGAGTGCAAATGGAACAACAACTGCACCAACAACAGCGACAAGAATTGCACCGCAGGTGGCTAGCTGGCTGGCTGGTTGGCTGGTTGGCTGCCTGCATTAACGTGGCTAAGACCAGTTTGCAATTAAATGTCGCCATTTACATGTGCTTTGATTTTTGCATAACCAACTGCAGCCAATGTGTGTTAGAGTTGGCAGCAGCTTAACTGGAATGCCAGCTAAGAAAGTACAGTCGTACATTAAGAAACTGGCGAGAAATGGGCTAAGGTGAATAATATTTATAAGAAGTGAAACAATTCGAAATTCGCGCTAAAAGCTGCAAGTCGAGCTATCGATTAAGCAGAAAAATACATTGACAGCTTTTCATGGGAAAAAGTATTGAATAATTATTACTGTTGTTATTGTTATTGTGCAGTGGACATTATGTTTCTGAATATAGATGCAACTAAGACTCTATGAGTCGTAGACTTAGCCATCTCTCAGATATTGCCTCTAATGTGAGTTGCGTGATTCGTTCGTGTCGTGTCTTTTTGATTTTCTTTTGGGCC